TTTCATGGAGGAGTATTATGTCCGCTCCCGTTCTATTGGCCCATCACATCAGCTGGTGGCGTTTAGCCGGGTTGTTTAGGCCTTTGCAGTTGAGTGAGATGCATTTCATTGTTTTCATATTAGTTGTGGGTGTGGGTCTGTTTAGTTATTTAGAGTGTGGAGGACCCGGGGTTTCTCGCCCTTTAGGGTGAGTGGTTCGAGGAGGGGGGTTTGTGGAGGGTAGGGTAGAGGTAAGGGTTGTGGGGTTTTAGTGTCTAAAAAGGGGTGGAGAAAGGGGTGTCGGTGTGCCCTGGTCTTACTATAGGATCGCCAGGTGGTGTTGGGGGGTTGTACGTGGTGCCTTTAAGGTTGGAGTAAGTGTGGTGTGGTCCCCTTGTGTGGGGTACTGTGGGTTGTGGTGAGGGAGAGAGGAGGAAGGTCTTTCACGTTCCCGTCACCCTCTCTCCCCCTGCACAATTGCCATTGTATCACTCACGGTTGGTCGGTGGATTCTTAGTCGGTTCGTTGTGCCTATTCTTATGGTGGTTTGTTGGTACGGGGTAAGATGCTCCGTTTTCCGTCTTTCTTTCTTTCGTGTCGTATGTAAGTTTGTGTCGTCACTTGTGAGGTTTGCTTGGAAGAGAAAAAAACTGTTTAACATATATACAAGGAAAACATTAACATTATGTAATAGCTGTGGTTTTTGCCTCAGTTTAACCTGTTTGTTGACTTTCAAGGAAGTTAATTATCTTGGTTAAGTGCCTGGATGTGCCCTATGTGGGTTTTCACTTAGTTATTCCCCCCCTTTCCTCCCCTTCTATGTTTCTGTCTCTGTTATTCTAATGATTTCGTCGTTGTCCCTCCTTTTCTTCCCCCTATCCTTCTGTTGTCCTGTCCTCTGTTTGGTAGTGGGATGTATGGTCAGTGTCATTTGTGCGTGTTGTCCTTAGTCCGAGTGAGTGTAATGAGTGTTGTTGTGTCTAGTGGTCCGTCTGGTCTGGAGTGTGATTCACCCTCCTTCCCCTTCCCTTGATAATTCCAGTCCCTATGTGGCCAGTCTTGTCTCTCCCTCTCTGCATTTTCCCCATTACCCTTGTGGTAATCACGGTATACAGTTTAAAAGATTGCAAGAGTAATGTCTCTATAGTTCTTGTATTTCTTGTTTCTTCCTCTCTTCAGATCCGAGGCGGTTGTGGAGTGGGGATGTCTTTCACTGGATCAGTTGGGTGGACGGGGGTCAGGGCTCGTTGATGTGTGTTGGCGTTTCCTCTTCTGGTGTTGTCATGAGGATTAAGCTGTGGCCATAGTGGTTTCAGAGGGGTACAAGTCCGGTAATGCGGTGTGGGTCAGCTCTTTTATGTAGGATGTTTGAGAGTTCCGGAGGGGTCCTCTTTGGTGAGGTATTGGCTTTATCTTGAGCAGTGTCTCGGGGGAGGTTGCCATGGGCTTGGGGTTCTCATTTCTTTTGGTTCTAGGTCCATAGGGCCGACTCTTTGTGGTAAAGTTCCTCTTATTTGTCGTCTGTTATGTACTTCTAGCGGCCTGAGCGGTGCGGCGGGGATTGTCCCCCTTGACGTCTAGCAGCGGTGTTGTCTTCTATGGCGTGGGGGGGTCTTTTCTGTTTGGCCAGATTCGGGGATGTAGCTCTGTCTCTGGAGCGGTCTCTTCCCCTGTATCCCGTTAGAGGTGTGGGGTTCAGGAGCTGAATTCCCAGAGAGTCCGCCATTGGACCCATTTCTGCGGCTGTGGTGAGGATATGGGTTTGGTCGCCTTTTTTGACCAGCAGTTTAAAGGGGTGGCCCCAAGTGTATTTTAGCCCCTGTTCTTGGAGGGCCAAGGTGAGGGGTTTTAAATCTCTTCTCTTCTTTAATGCAGTTGGGGCCAAGTCCTGGAAGAAGGTTAGGCGGACGTCTTTATACTTGGGAGGACGGTTTCTGGCTAGTTGCATTAATTTTTCTTTAGTTTGGAAGTAGTGGAGGCGGATTATTACGTCTCTTGGGGTAGAGAGGTTCAGATTAGGGGGTCGTAGTGCTCTGTGAGCCCGGTCCATTTCCAGGAGTGGCAGCGGTAGTTCGGGTGCCATTGCAGAAAAGATGTCTTTCAGGGTGGTGCTTAGGGTCTCTGGCTGGACTGCTTCGGGTAGGCCACGGATTCGGATGTTATTCCTCTGTGACCTGTTGTTAAGGTCCTCTAGGTTGTCCTCCATGGCCGTGAGGCGGCCATGGAGGTAGGAGATTTCTTGGGACTGCGAGGTGGAGGTAGCTGTTAGTGTTGTGAGTCGTACCTCTGTCTGGTCCGTGCGGGCATTAAGTGTCTGTACTTCTGCTCTGAGGCCTCCTAGGTTTCTGCTGATCTCCTCTGCCACGTGGGATTTTATGTCCGCTGTGGCTTCCTTCAGCATGTCCCTGAGGCTCCCGATGGTGAGGGGGGGTCGAGGGGTCAGATGTGGGGTCGGTCCCCTCTGGGTCAGTACCTTGGTCGTCCCCATGATAGGAGTAGGTAGGCCTCTGGGAGTCCCCCGGCGTGCGGAACATGGAGGCTACCGAGCTCCTCTTTTTTTTTTCTTTCCGCCGCCCATATTGTGGAGCCTGGTGTTGGCTGGTCACCTGGAGGCTGTTTGGGCCGTGTGTGATGCGGATGATGGCTGATTCTGTGCTTGGGGGAGAGGGAGCTGTGAGATCAGGTGTCCATCTTCCTCCGAGGTTAGGCTCCGCCCCCGGCGATGGTCTTTTATCCCATTCCAGCCTTGTGTAGGTCTGCAATCTTGTCCCTGACATCCTTGGACAGCTATTTAGATTTGGCCGTGGTGGAGAGTTTGGAATCTGATTGATTGACTGCTTCTGTGGACAGGTGTCTTTTATACAGGTAACGAACTGAGATTTATGAGAACTCCCTTTAAGTGAGTGCGCCTAATCTCTCAGCTCGTGACACCTGGGAGCCTATTCAGTTTACTCCTATAATAAAAGGTGTTCTTAAAAGCACTATTGAGCATTACTGCTCTAGCTCTCTATTCAGGTTTATACTTTTTAATGGACTAATTTATATGTGTTATATATGCTTTCCCTGCTGAGATTTCAGCTTAACCAGCAGTTTCTGTCACTATCCTTGTTGGGTCTATTGCAGTGATGGCGAACCTTTTTGAGCCCGAGTGCCCAAACCGCAATACATGCCAACTTTTTTTCCCTCAAAGTGCCAACATGGCAATTAAACCTGAATACTGAGGTTTACATTTAGAAAAAACTACTCGTACAGTTAACAACTTTTGTTTTAAAAACAACACAACAGAGAGTTAAATTATACAAATTTTAAATAATGATATAAATTAAGCTTATATTAGTATCTCCAACAAATGCAATACATACACACAGACTGCTGAACACATTCACACACCAACTGCTTAATACATACACACACCGAGACACAGACAGACTGCTAAATACACACACAGTCCGCTAAATACACGCACACTCCTGAGTACGCAGTCTGCTGAATACACGCACGCAGTCTGCTGAATACACGCACACACACTGCTGAATACATAAAGACTGCTGAACACACACACATATACTGCATTGAGGGGTGCAGTGTATGTGTCTGTGTGTAATGTTGTGTGGGGGGGGTGGGGTGCTGTGTGTGGGGGGTGGGGTGCTGTGTGTGGGGGTTGGGGTGCTGTGTGTGGGGTGGGGTGCTGTGTGTGGGGGAAAGGGTGCTGTTTTGTGTGGGGAAAAAGTGGTGGGGTTGCTGTGTGTAGGGGGTAGGAAGCTGTGGGTAGGGGTGCTGCGTGGTAGGGGTGCTGGGGGTAGGGGTGCTGTGGGTAAGGAGGGTAGGGTGCTTGGGGTAGGGGAGTAGGGTGCTGGAGGTAGGGGTGATGTGGGTAAGAGGGGTAGGGGTGCTGTGGGTAGTAGGGGGTGCTGGGGGTGGGGCTGGTGGTGTGGGAGTAGGGGTGCTGTGGGTAGGGGTGATGTGGGTAGAGGGGCAGGGTGCTGTGGGTAGGGGTGCTGTGGGTAGGGGTGCTGTGGGCAGTAGGGTGCTGGGGGTTGTGGGTGGGGGTAGGTGCTGTGGGGTGGGGGCTGTGGGTGATGTGGGTAAGAGGGCTAGGTGCTGTGGTGCTGTGGGTGGTGGGGGTGCTGAGGGTAGGGTTCTGTGGGTAGGGGTGCTGGGGGTAGGAGTGCTGTGGGTAGGGGGAGTAGGGGTGCTGGGGGTAGGGGTGATGTGGGTAAGAGGGGTAGGGGTGCTGTGGGTAGGGGTGCTGTGGGTAGTGGCGCGTGCCATAGGTTCGCCATCACTGGTCTATTGCTACACTTTTCTTTTTGCAAACTCCTTTAGTAGCAACAAAGTGATACTTTTGTCGCCAACCTTTACTAGAAGGTTAGGTGTAAGACAGAATAAGAGATACAAACTGCAAATTAGGAGCATCTAGATACATATTTTTATATATTTTTTTTTCTCCCATTTTTGCTTTTCGTAAGGTCTATCAATTTATAGATGCACGATAGTACCTCACTTTTCACTGTGTGATACCTTAGATATTATTTTCTTCTTGTTTTTTTTTAAAGATCCAGAATAAAAATAAGTTTAAAACTTCATTATAATTCATTCTTTGCATTTAATTACATCTGTAGGCAATGTTCTACTTCTCTTTAACCCCTTAATGACCAAACTTCTGGAATAAAAGGGAATCATGACATGTCACACATGTCATGTGTCCTTAAGGGGCTAAACACATATTTATCAAGGGTTACTCCCTTAACAAGCCTGCATCGTTGAGCTCACTTTCCTTTCTATTTTATTAAAAACTCATACTCAGCCATCTGTCCTTCTACCAAAATAGTGAAGTAACTTTACTATTTCTATGAGATGATCTCAAACCATACACACTAACCTCTAAATCCTATGGGAAAGCAATGAATAGCAGCATTGCAAGGCCTGTGCACAATGATATAGAGTTGCTGGTACAAACTTCAGTATAATTAAATATTAATTAACTTTTTTTTTATTGAATATTGAATATTACATGCTTTGTCTTTATTGTTGCTACTCAGCTGCGAAAGATTTTTACACGTAAAAGTCAAAATAACATATAAAATATAGTAAATAAAACCTTTTCACGTAGTCTAAACATTACAGCTTTAGGAATACAAACATGTATTGCTAAAGTTATAGTTTTAATCTACCTATTTTGTTTTCTTGTGTGAGGGTTTGAAAGATGAGTATTACTTACCTTTCAGCCTTGCGCTGATCTCCACAATGTTGCTCCAGCTTTTTTGCTAAGATCATCATTATTGATGATCTCAGCCAATCCAGTGTTTCCACATGACGAAATATTGAGAGGTTAGTGTACATATGCGGCAAAACGCCACGCTGTGCCAATCTAGTGGTCTCTCTGAGACCATCTGATTGAAAAGCCAAGTTTATCCAGGCTTTTGGGGCAGATGCAGGAAGTGATAAAAACAATACCTTCTGCCTCTCCCCACCCTCATCACCAAGGGTCAGATTTGTTGGATAAACTTGGCCTGAATCAAAGTGTTAGTGTTACCAGTGACACTATTGGCATCCGAACTTTGTCCAAGCTAATCCTGTTAAAACCAATCACAAAATACTATCTAAAAACACTCATGCAGCCACTCAATTACAAGTGCTATAATATACAATAAAAAAAATAACAATAAAAATTGAAAATCAAAGGAGCAATAAAAATGTGTATAAAACGTATGAATTGTAGGAGAATGACATCAGAATGTGTATACATTCCCTAAAGATCTGTGGTAAATGTAATTTTGTTGATTTTGCACTCTTATACATTTTTGTTTTGTATTGTGCCTTTGGGTTAATACTGTGTTTGTAAAGAGGTACCGGTTTGGCTGGTTTTGGATAGTCATAGTGTAAAGAAGTCATTAATTTATTGCAAGTAAGTCATACGCGTGTCATGCAAACTCCCTATGCTGTAGAAACATCTATAAAGCTAGACATGTAGGAGAAACATAAAACACAATATCTGAGATATTACAGAAGAGAATGCCCAAATTTGCTTGGCTCCATCCCTATGTGAAGAATAAAAGGGGGCACAATTTTATCGCAGACAAGTTTTGTCCCATGTTTTCTGCATTGTGGATGTTAGGGGTGCGGGTATCAGGTCTATTAGGGTGCTGATCTGGGTTGGAGTCCCATGTGGGAAACCCTGATTTAGGGGACTAATTTGTGACAGTGCCACTTTAATTGAAGCTAATTATACAGTACATTGTGAGATACTGCTGTGGGTGCAGGTATAAAGCTGTAAATTTGGGGTTAATGGTTAATGCTATAGGAGGAAGGTTGATTTAAAAAGTAGTGTACAGTTAATACAGCAAGTATGGAGTTTATAAATACAGGTTTACATACTAATGAATTCATTCAAAGAGTACGCAGTACTGGAGACCATATCTTCAGAAGGATATTCAGAGAAGGGCTGCTAAGCTGGTTCATGATTTGCAGTATAAAACCTACCAGGAAAGGTTAAAGGATCTTAACATGTATAGCTTGGAGGAAAGACGAGACAGGGGGGGATATGATAGAAACATTTAGCTACATAAAGGGAATAATCACAGTAAAGTAGGAGACTATATTTAAAAGAAGAAAAACTACCACAAAAAGAGGACATAGTCTTAAATTAGAGGGGCAGAGGTTTAAGAATAATATCAGGAAGAATTACTTTACTGAGATGGTAGTGGATGCATGGAATAGCCTTCCAGCTTAAGTGGTAGAGGTTAACACAGTGAGGGAGTTTAAGCATGCGTGGGATATGCATAAGGCTATCTTAGACTTATGATAAGACCAGGGACTAATTAAAAGTATTTTGAAATACTGGCAGACTAGATGGGCCGAATGGTTCTTATCTGCCGTCACATTCTAGGTTTCTATGTTTGTTGTCATAAAATTATCCGTAGAACATGCTGGAGATGAGGGTTAGTATGTGGCATAGATTTTGATAGAGTTTAAGTCTGTATATGTGGAGGGGTTTTATAAAATGTTTCCTTGGGCTGAAGTCCCTGGTCTTTTTGCTAGCTATAAACACCCCTGCTATGAACCTATAATTATCAACAGTGATTGCTAAATATTAGCATATGATATGAACGTATGTTACAGAGCCTACAGAATATTTTTTTGTGACTGTGTCTATCTAAACTTTTCTCCAAGGTTGATACTGGGTGGCACGGGGTGGAGAAGCTACAACTTCCACTGTCTGAACTGGTGAGAGTAGCAAAAGAAAGGGCAGACTCTGGCCATCATACCCTCATCAATCATGTACTTTGCTCGCTAAGAGAAAAGAGGTAAGTAGTAGTAGTTTATGAGGTTACCTGCTGTACTATACAAAACTTTTAGAGAACTTGTTACCCGAGTGGTATCTACATGAAAGAACAGGAGTCTTTTGTTAATATGTACAGGTAGAGTTGGAAAACAGCAACATCTCGAGATATTTAGATTATATTTATTCCTTAAAGGACCACTCTTGGCACCCAGACCACTTCAGCTTAATGAAGTGGTCTGGGTGCCAGGTCCAGCTAGGGTTAACCCTCAGGGCACTATAGTGCCAGGAAAACGAGTATGTTTTCCTGGCACTATAGTGGTCCTTTAACAGTTTTAGTAAGATAAAAAACAGCCAGTTTATACATAGTGGACAGCAACTTTCTGCAGCCTGTGGGTACACAAAGCTTGAAGGGAGGCGGACAAAAAAGATGAAACATTTAAATGTTTTAACAAAATTGTTAATTTGCATACTGAAATTGTATCTATTTTTAAAGGCACAGTATAACCACCTGAACAACTTCAACTTAATGTAATTGTTCTGGTGAGTACAGTTTGTCCCGGCAGGTCTTTTAATGTAAACACTGCCTTTTCAGAGAAAAGGCAATGTTTACATTGCTGCCTAGGGACACCTCCAGTGGCCACTCATCAGACAAGTGGACCGGGACAGAGCCAGCACTGGCGGACCTGCACAGCACTGGAATAAAAGTGAATGTTTATCTTATTAAAGGGGGTTAAGCCACCTAAATAGTGTGTTTAACACTGTAGGGTCAGGAATACACATTTGTGTTCCTGATCCTATAGTGTCCTTTAACTATGGAGAATTGTTCAATTATATTTATCATGAACCTTATAATTAAATATTTTTTATGATGTGAGCTAAAATATTTGAAAACTACTTTTCTTGTACATATCACAGGTTACACAACACTATACAAGCCAATGTGTTGATGGAAAAGATGTGCCAGGAAAACACACACAGATCTCAAAAGATACCGTGTTCAGGTGGGAATATCAGACTCACATGGGCAAAGAGAAGCTGAAAGTTGTATTTAAACAGCACAACATGATCTGCTGGACATCCGGGGTGGTCATTACCACGGCTTCCTGAAGCAATATCTTAACTTTGTGTTCTTTAAACATTCCACATGGACAAGTGCTTAAACCTACAGACCACTGGCATTTAAATAAATAAATGATCATATTTACGTGGTAGTGACATCTATATAAACATTTCATCACTGTGGCTCAATACTCACAACAAAAACGTTGCAAGTAAAGTAGATACTATAATTAAAAAATCACCCTATTGCATAACAACGTAAAAAAAATGTCAAGTCCATCATTTATTACATATTTATTTATTACACAGAAAAAAATTCACATACTGCATTTCAGGTCAACAAACCCAAATTTAATTGCAGAGCATGTTGTGCTTCTATGATATTAATTATTCCTAGGCAGTAAAGTTCAAAATATGAGCAACTTGTATATTCTTTCGACTCCCATGATGCTAAAAGCATGCAAAGCCTGGAGCATACATGTGCTTGCACAGCACCATGTGTGGACCGCATGTGTGTGTATGTACAAGCTCGTAGTTATAGATTGAGATGCTGATATGTACATATCAGGAACATGCTGGCACACACACCTTGAAGTACTGTGGATTTCGCTTATCTCTGGTGCACTGCTCACACTTCAGTAATATTTACTGAAATATATTAAAAGCAGAGCACTCACCCTTTTAATCTGTCTTAGTAATGTAACAATATATATATATTCCTACACCTGTAATAAAAGCAGGGCTCAATTTCCGCAGGACACTCATTGGAGTTGTGGTACCTTTTTTCACATATGGTAATAGAAAATATCAGATTTCTTCAAGTCTTTATCTCATCTGGAAGCTAAGCACCCTGATATGTTAAGCATAGCGCATTCACAATTTGGTAAGCTACTCACAATTAGTAAATACAAGTTCCAGGTTCATGACCATGAAGCCTAATTGCGTTGAGTATTTGATACAAACAAGAGATTAAAAAAAAAAAGCTCCATGTTTTATTAATCACACAGAGGTTTTACCCTTTACTGCAGGGATGATGCTTTGTCAGTCTATAGGCGTGATAATCATCATGGGAATTGTAGTTCTCCACCCCTGCTTTACTGCAACAGACAGCATCCTTTCCATAAGTACATAGTACTTATAGTACTGATTACTTTATTGGTCAGAAAGTCTTCTGTGACACAGTATGATAAACCAATGATTTTCTGTATTCACAAAGAATTATGCTAAACCATTAACGTCATCGTTATCTGTAGATTGCACAGAAGATGCACAATAAAAGGGAATACTGCCTTTTCCAGGAACCTTTAAATATCCTGCTCTTGCAAAATGGACTTCGTCTAAAAGGATATGCTTACTTTGTGAAGCATATTCATTTGAAGCCAATTGTAAATACACAGAGGACTCTTTTACTTTTAACAGGCACGTGGAGCATATGTGCCACTCCAGTCCCTAAGACACAGGCAGGTAGTGGAGGTACATTGGTCTTTAATTGAAAATAGGTATGAAATTAATAAAGTGTCTTAAAAAATTCTACACAAATATAATATACTCAAAAAAGAATGGTTTGCTCCCATAAGATGAAAAGAGAATTTGCACATCTTTAGAACTGCAGATTGCTTTGCCCTTTTATAGAGGCATCTACACATTCTATACACCATGTGTTTATATTTTCAAAGTTAAATCTACAGAACATTAAGCCCTTGTCCTGCAAATATGGGGCAATGTTTACAATGAAGAAGGAATGAGGAGATGCATGAAATACTAAAAAGAGGATGCAATTTCCATGTTTAACTTCCATTTCCATTCAAATATTAGGTAAATAGCTGCACTATGAAGGGAGGAGTCACAGTCATTGGCAAGTTAGCTTTAAATCCAATAAGGCACTGAGATATTCAATAACTCCATAATTCCGCACTATGGAGGAATAACACTGTATAGCCCTGAGAGCACGCAAGGTACATGTATAATTCTAAATTAACCTTGATATACAGGACAGTATAACATAAAGGACCCCGCCCCTCACAAGCTCTCTAAATAAAAATAAGAATTGTACATACACATTCAAATATGCATAATAAAAGTTTCTGATTTTTTTTGTTTTTTTTTTTGTTTAGTCTGTAAAAATTAAAAGAAAAAAAGAAAATAATGTTCATTCCTCCTCAGTGTTCTTTATGGACTAGAGGAAATTGATTGACTTAAGAGATGATTTCAAAGTTTCAAAGACCACAAATGGTCCACGTAAAACACATGTTGAGTAATGCAGCACCACCAACAGTAGCTCAGAAGTCCTGCTCCTGATGGTAATGGTATCCCTGCTGGTCTTCCTGATCATCTGGGTCTCCCAGATCACCCGGATTGCCCTTAGGGCAGTACTTGGGATCATAAATTTGCCGACCAAGGCCAAAGATCTGCCCACTCTGGTTGGCTCCCTGGTTGTAGCCCATCTGCAGCGACATAGAGGAGTTGTCACATTTTTCTGTCCCTGTTTTTGTGTCATAAATGTGACGTCGGGTACCTGGTGCAGTCATTCCCACCTAAAACATACCACAATATGTTACATACAGACAAAAAAAAAAAAGGAACTTAGATTTCACATTAATGTTAGCATTCTCATCTTACAACCACATACATGATTGTTAAAATGTAACAAATACCCTTAGCAATTGTAGGACATTAATACTACGAATATGTTGTGACATTATACATATCATAGACAACACATTTATTCCTCTGGACTGTAAGCTCGCTTTAGCAGGGTCCTCTTTATCATAGTTTTAGTGTAATTTTTTGTAATTGTCTCATTTATTGTTAAATCTCCCCCTCCTATAATATTGTAAAGCGCTACGGAATTTGTTGGCGCTATATAAATGCCAATAATAATAATTCCAAGTAAGCATGATTTCTGCTTTCCAACAAAATACACAAGTTAATACAAAACAATCTAAAATATGATTGAGGAATTTATAATGAATTTAGTGCTTTCATGATTTCTATAACCTCCCATTCCATCAGCCAATGAATAGCCTTTGTCGCTTACCTGGCTTGCACCTTTGTTGGTGCCCATCTGTAGACTAATTGTGGAATGGTCCATAGGTGGCAAAATGTTGTGTTTTGGGTCATAAAGATGCCTTCTTGTGCCATAAGCTGTCATGCCAGACTGACTGGCACATTTATTTGTGCCCATCTGCAAAAAAAAAAGAAAAATGGTTGTAATTCAATCATAAAGTAACAAACCAATAGCTTTTTACCAAGCCACGTCTCTCCCTTATCCTTCTGAAACACTTCCTCCCACCTCTGTCAGCTGCGGTTCATGTTGTTCCCCTCCAGAATTTAAAATCACCTTAGTCCCACCACCAGCTCACCTGCAGCCCAATAACACATTGCCCTGCTTTCTTTGTGTTCTCATCAAAGTTTCTCTCTTGCTTCTCGGCATATTTCACTCCAATATCAACATCACTCTGCAGACCACGTGTCTTTGCCTAAAACAGCAGCACAAAATATTGAAGTGACACTCATGAAATTATTTTATCAACCCATTTAACTTTAAGCACATCCTAAACTGCAGTAAAGAAAGTTACAATTGTGTTTTTACCCCATTTTGATCATTTTTCACTCTTTCACTCTACATATCTTATCTGCCCACATTGCTGTAGACATGAGAAAATCTGATATTAAACAAATATTTCTGTAGAGATATAGTGTGCATAAATAGTAATCTTGCAGGCAGGACAGTCAAACCCTATTATATTAGTTTCTGTCTGCCAAACTTTATCAATTATATCCATAACTCATTGCATTTAGCATTGTGAAATATTTTAGCACTATATAAATAAATGATTACATTAGTACATTCCTAAACAATTTGCTGACGTTTGTTTAAAAGCTGGTAAACCAATCATCAAGTTGTTAGGGTCCCCCCCACCCCCCAAGAGCTGAAGCAGACATGTGAGAATATAAACCAAGCTAAATAAACATAGATCTTCATTAATCTATGCCTTTCAATATTTAAAAGGTCATTATGTGTATTTTTGTAGAATAGAAAAAACAATACCATCAGCTGTCAACTGGATGTCAACCTTACTTTCTCATGGAATGTTATTTAACAGATTGCTCACAAGGTAAACCATGATGTTTATTTGTTTGAAGGTACACTATAACCACCAATACAACTTTAGCTTAATGAAGCAGTTTTGGTGTACAGATCATGCCTCTGCAGTCTCACTGTTCAATTCTCTGCCATTTAGGAGTGAAATCACTTTTGTTTCTGTTTAAGCAGCCTTAGCCACACCTTCCCTGGCTTTGAATGACACAGCCTGCATGAAAAAAGTGGTTTCATTTTCAATCAGATGTTAACTTTAGTTGTTATCTCCTACTCTCTAAATTGAACTTTAATCACATACAGGAGGCTCCTACAAGAGCTATCGATCTGTTAACAGAGCAGGAGATAAGAAAATTTAAATGAAAATGAATGTGCAATAAAGGAAGTGTTAACATTAGATGACTCTTTACAGGAAGTATTTAGGAAGGCTGTGCAAGTCACATGCAGGGAGGTATAACTGGAGCTATATAAACAAAGTGATATAACTCCCAAATAGCAGAGTATTGAACAGCAAGACTGCAGGGGCATGATGTATACACAAAAACAGCTTTATTGTGATAAAGTTGTTTTGGTGGCTATAGTGTACCTTTAAACAGAAATTGTGGAGAACTGAAAATGTTATGCCAAAATATATAAGCTGTAAAATTGCATTGTATTAGAATAAGTGATTGGAAGATATTTTCAAGTTCAACAAATTTCTACTAAAATGTACAATCCCTTTGCAAATCATTTGTACATAATTCACAGCAAGTAAAAGAAAAACCAAATACAGATTAGCATATGTTCATTACATATTTGTCCACATATATGTGGAAGGAAAGATACCCCCCACCACAAATGCATACTTACCATTCCAGCTAGTGCCAGTAAAGAGACCTGGACTTGGGTCATGTTTCCATTCTCAAATAGGTCATTGGCTTCAAACAGGTCCACAGATTTTATCCCATATCTTGACATGGCTTTAATAAAGTTGGAGAGGTTCTCAAGCTGGATAAGAAATCAGATTAATGTTTTGTAAATTAGTTTTTTTTGGTAAAATGTTGAAATAGTTTACATCTTGTAGAGATTGCATAGTTTCCTGGATGAAAACTATACTGAAAATCCATGATATCCTCAAATGATAAAAATGATAAAATATAAACATGCCACATCAAGTGTAATCACATTCTTCTAATAAATAATGTGTATCCTTTACCTTATAAAAATAAATATAAGTCTTATACTGCATAAGGATGGTCTTTATTCATTAACCATTTAAAGAGAATGTCAAGATTACTGTAATGTCAGGACTACTGTATCCTCTATTACTGTACCCCACCACAGAAAACTCAGGTCGAAATCAGAGAATACAGTAACGAGATAACACAAGAATAAGGAAAAAATCGTAACAAAGCTAAGATCAGGATTTGGGAGATGCAGAGAAATTAGAAAACTAGCCAAAGTCAAAGTAACAGAGATACCAGAAGTCAGAAATACAGAGAAAATTTCTTAATCAGGAACCACAAAGGAAACCACGACCGGGCACTATTTAAATAGTTAAGTGCCATTTATTTGGTTCCTGACACCCCTCCGTCCCCAAATGGTCCTACAATGAGGTCGCATGCATGATGTAGACCAGCTAGGACTGGAGGTAAGGCGATGCGTCTAATTTCCATTAAAAAAGGCACGTGCCAAGAGTTGGCAGAGTTTACAATGCTGCCCAACTGGGAGCAATGTGCTCCAGCCTTCCAATGGAGGTGGACAGCCCTCAATAGAACACTGGATCTATGATTGCTGCATAAATTGGATATGAAGTGTGGCAGTGGTTTTATTTTCACTGATAGGTTCCATTCTAAATTGGTACAAATTTTACACTACTTGTAGAACAGCAATCACCTCTACAATTGTTCATTTTAAAGCAGGCCTGCCAACATTGACATTCAACGGTATGTTAAGGAGTGTGTACCAAAATGCCTACTATATCAATTACTGATATACGATCAATTGTTTTATTGGTACCGTATTAACAAGTTAACTAAATGAGAATAGAAAAAAAAAGTTGTATAAACGATTCCTTTCTCTGTTAATGAAAGATGGATATTTTGGAAGCTTTCTGGATGTTAAAGGGACACTATAGTCACCCAGACCCCTTCAGCTCAATGAAATGGTCTGGGTGCAATGTCCCTCAGGTTTTAACCCTGCAGATGCAAACACAGCAGTTTCAGAGATGTCACTAGAGGCACATCTGCGACGCATGAGGCATATTATGCCTCCATCACGCAGAGAGTCCATAGGAAAGCATTGAAAAAGGCTTTCCTATAGACAGCCTGAATGCCGCGCATGCGCATTCGGCTCCGCCGAGGGAGTCCTTCAGTGCCATGAGAGGGGGGACCCTGAGGGTGGGGGCACCCTCAGGGCACTATAGTGTCAGGAAAACCGCTTAGTTTTCCTGACACTATAGTGATCCTTTAAGGTCTCTTTAGGCAGGTTTGTTTGGTGAAGCTCTGACATATTGATGAACAACTTACAGGATAAAGAAATAAATACATATACACAAATTGCAGACACTTTCTTTCATTATTTTCCACCACAAACTATTTCATCTTAATGTAATTTGTGTATTTATTTGTATTTTTTTTCTTGCAAACAATGTATAATTAAATATATGAGCTTCACCCAACAAACATGCCTAATGAAGGGACCTTAGTGTGCTGAAAGCTTGCCAATTCGTTAACCAATAAAAGTATCACTTAAACAATGTTTTATGTTAGTTTGTTCTCAACTCCTGGTGTGAAAGCGTACAACCTATTGATTACATCCAGTTACCCAAGCCAAAAATGAAATCAGATAATATGCACCAACTAATTTGAATTTTACAAAACAGATTCTTTCTACCAAGCCTTTCATTTTTGATGATTGTTTTACTTACCTTGTGCCAGTTCTGTTTGGAGATATTCACTTTTGGAATGGCGTTTGGGCTGAGCTTGTTCATGAGTCTGCATGAATGAGATTAGGAAATTACCAATTAACTAATTACTAGTGCTCAATGTGCTTAACAATTCTCTTCCAAACATTGTTCAAGTAAAATGACACACTATTAGTAGGGGGCTATAAACTATCATTATAGAAGGTGGGTGTGAACACTAACAATATAAGTCAGTGACTTAGTGACAAATTAGCCAATGTTCAAGTGCCATTTATACACCCTTGTACTCACTCGCACAAGATAACACCATCTTGCAGCCCTTTCTGGAAGTCTTGTCCAATGGACATCCCTGTGACCTCCTCTATCCAGACCTGGAGTTCATTCTCCTTTTGGGGATCATATTTCAATGCCAGCTGAAAAAGTCAATATAAATAGGTTGTTACATACACCGCAGCAACTTCAGTCCTATTGCCATTAGTGTGGATTATCTACAAAACATTGTGTCATGTAGGGTAATGTGTCATTCACAGGAGGGTGTGTAATTCAATGTCACTTCACTCAACACATGATAAACCCACCCAGTAATTAAACCAGTTATTACAAAACATTTTTAATCCTTTCACTGCCCAGGGGTAGCACGTTACTAAAAAAATTATGAATACATATTTGCAGAAACAACTACATGACTATCAGGTCAGGGTAGGAAGATTTACTATACAACTTGATGATTTCATCCAATCCAATGCATTCCCACAGCAAACCATTGAGAAGCTATCGCGCATGCGCAGCAAAACGCCACACTGTGTCAATCAGCATCTCCTCAGAGATGCATTGAATCAATGCGCCTCCATGAACATTGTGCAGCACTGACCAAGGAAGCACCTATAGTGGCCTTCTAAATGACTGCCACTAGTGTTGTTTCTAGGCAGTGATCTAAAAGCAGTGTTTACATACTCGTTTTCCTGGCACTACAGGGTCTCTAGGTCCCCCCCACCCTTAGGGTCCCCCTCCGCCGGGCTCTAGGGTGAGGAAGGGGTTAAACACTCACCTTTTCTCTACCGCCGGGCTCCCTTGGCGGTGGGGACTCTCCGTCTCCTTTCCCCGTCATCGGCTGAATGCGCATGAGCGGCAAGAGCCACGCGCGCATTCAGTCAGTCCATAGGAAAGCATTCTCAATGCTTTCCTATGGACGCTGGCGGCTTCTCACTGTGAAAATCACAGTGAGAAGTGCAGAAGCGCCTCTAGCGGCTGTCAATGAGACAGCCGCTAGAGGCTGGATTAACCCATAGGTAAACATAGTTTCAGAGAAACTCTGAAACTGCTATGTATACAGCAGGAAGGGTTAATCCTAGATGGACCTGGCACCCAAACCACTTCATTAAGCTGAAGTGGTCTGGGTGCCTATAGTGGTCCTTTAAAGAGGTACTATAGTCACCAGAACAACTACAGCTTAATCTAGGTTATTCGGGCGTCTACGCCATGTTCCTGCAGGCTTTTTAATGTAAGCACTGCCTTTTAAGAGAGGTGCTTCCTGGGTCAGTGATAGGGAGGAGGGTGTTTGCCCATTTAATCATTGCTAAAGTAAGGTACAGAAAATATCTGGTTTTCTATAGCCTTTAATACATTTTATAAATAAAATACTTATATAAAAATAAGAAAGCTTGAAGAAATCTTGTAGTTTGATTGTTTCTCATTCTGTACAGCTGTAGCTTCCTTCTGTACTCCTTCCTGTCATTTAACTACACACAGTTAATCCTTTTGTTTCTGATCTACACTGCAGTGTTAGGTATGCAGCTTTGGTTTCACTAGGTTCCACAGACATTTATGGCAAAAATTCTGCAGAACAAAAAATGAATCATTACAGAGGCAGCCTCTATTGTGTCAGATAACTCACAAGTAATAACTTTCCTTGCAGGAAAAGTATTTCGGGTTTATTAAACAGGGAATTGTAGATAACTGACAACGGAATTTCCCTTTTTTTTGCCCAAATGGTCTTGCTGGAAAAGTAGGTTGCAAATTTTCTCACTTCTGAGATTTTCGCCTTAAATTTGCAATATACCTGAAATTCTCCACAATTCTCACTTCAGTAAATAAACCAAAGAGTACTCATAAGCTTTGCCATAAGACAAAGTAATAACCTACTTTGTTTTATATCTTTTGACTGTTTGGAGTATCAAGGAAATTCCAGCATAGTCAATGTGAGCAATTCATAAAAATGTTATCTTTATGCAATGCTCCTAAATTATTTTTTGTGCGACAGAGCCACTTTAAGACGCAGTGCTTTTGGTGCTAAGAGTGTCCATTTAATATACAGATGTATTCATATGCATATAGTGGGCGTGGATTTTATGAATACAATGCTTGATAACATTGGGTAAGAGGCGATCAAGCACATTTGTGAATCGCCACCCACCTGAAAAAAAAAGTAGTGTATGACCTCCAGCCCTGGCTTTCCCTATTTTTCCGTCACAGTCTAGAGCGGCTCAGTCCCTCACTATAGGTTAGCATCTTAGAGCCAGAACAGGAGATTTCCCACCCCCCTTAAAACAGGAGAAGAACTAAAGCTGTGTTTTCCTTCCTGTCTTAACATGTAATACAATCACCATTTTCAAGATCAGCAATCACTGCCATGATACTCTTTTCAAAGTCTTCTGGAAACAAAAGCCAGACCATAAATGGGAAAGAGACTTTTTGTGTATGTGTAAAGATGCCATACTTCACAGGAAATGTTTATTTTTGTAAGTGTGTAAGGAAGGCATAATTAACAGTTTCAGTGCCAGATGTGATTGAAAGGATCATATTATCCAGTCTAAAAGCAAAACTAAAACATGACTTTTAGAACTTTCATATAGCATATTTTGCTTGATGGCACATGCTTGCTATCGCGGATAGTATTAAAGAAACACCACAACCACTACAGCAGTGGTTTTGGTGCAAGGTGGCCTTGGCACCCTCCCAGAGTAATTTGTCAACCTGTTTTGTCTTCCGGTGAATGTGCAGAATCCAGTTTCTCTTGCAGTAGAAGCCAGATGTTTCCTCCAAGCTAAGAGCAGTTCAATGCAGTTCATTTATATATACGGTATATATCACTAAAATGAATTACCATATGCAAAATGCCTACAATTGCATTTGGGAATGTTGTGCTGCTACTCAAACAAATTATAGGGCAGTTAGGGGCTTTACTAATACTATATGCCTTTTCCAACCAGTGGGGACTCAATAAAATGCCACAGGGATCCAATTTCAAGGGTTATGACGACCATTTATATCTATAGGGCATTATTCTTTAGGTCAAACCCGTATTCCAATCGCTAAAAAAAGGTATTAAACTAAGGCTTTATGTACCCTGTATCCAATGCAGGGCAATGCTCCTTGAGCTGACAATACGGGAGATACGCAGTGGTCAATTCAAAGGCTTATCATACAGAAGGCTTTGATTGGAACATTTAACCAGCTCTGAACTGGCCATAGTAAGTGGGGAGAGAAAGGAGGAGGGCAGTACAAGAAAAATAAAATAGCGGACAGTATAGTGAGTAGGGAGTGAGGGGAGACACAACTTTCCATTACACCTGTCACAAGTGCACTCATGACAGAGATAAAATATGCATAGAATTGACATTTGGCATAGCTCCAGCCTGCTAATGTCACGTGTGTAGGGTGTGTAACTAGACCGGGCACAAAATCCAAATATCTCTGGATGTGCAGCATTTCAAGCAGAAATGTTGCATGTACAGACTCCTACCACCGTGACCATTTCTAAAAGTAGAAGTGATCGTGGTGGTTGGAGTAATCGTTCCATGGGTTGGTCCCTTTTCTCTCGAATCGTAATGCAGTCCAACTTCTAGAAATTGAAAATGTTTTATCCCCAGAGCATGATAAAAAATATGCTTCAATGTCAGCGAAAGAAATGCCTGGAGGATTGTTTTCATGTTAGTGGCTTGTGACTTTAGCAATAAAGAAATACCATACACAATATTAATATTTAGTTATGCTTTAACAACTGCAGAATATATAATTTTCCAGCTTCTTCTGACAAATGACATCAACACTCCTCCATCATTTTCTAGGGGGCGACCTATCCGTTACTATATTTGCAGAGTTCCCACACTTCTTACTCTGAAGGGAGGGGCAGGAGCACTCATGGCACTTGACAATTTAAAATGGACGGCTTTTACAGAAGCACTCCAAGTGCCCTAACCACAACAGCTCATTCTAGTGACTATGGTGCCAGGAGTGCCTTTGTAGTGTTCCCCATTAAGCAGTCCTACAGGTTATTCACTAATGCCAAAATCAGTAGCCAAATTTGAAGCATAGCTAACTTACAGGGGCTACGGCTGTAAGCACCTCTTAAGGCACAAGTAAATGTGTTAAAATCCACTATATGGTTTGACTTCTTTCCAAGTGACAGCACCAAGGCACTCCTGGCACCATAACCAACCAAGTGGGCTGGGGTGGTTATGATGCTTTGAGTTTCCCATTAAATTTAGAGTGCTCTATACAATCCTGTCCTCTTTGCACAAAGTCAGTCTCACAGAATGAACCATTCAAAGTTAGTCCCAGCTTCTAAGAAAACCACCTACCACTACGTTCAGTTTTATTCACAACACAAGGAAGTGAGATGGGGGCTGTATCCTGTAGAGTAGGATCAAAGAAGGGGGTTTGAAGGATTATTTCGACCGCTATGACCACTTCTGCTTTTAGTAGTGGTCATGGTGGTAGGAGTCTGCATGTCTTTTCAGCTTGACATGCTGCACATAATTAGATATTTGCACTTGTGTGCTGGGGGGCTAGTTACACCCCCAGCACATGTGACTTTGGCAGCCTTAAACTCTGTTCAGGACTGCCAAATGTCAATTCTGTGCAAAAAAATATGCAATGGACATAATTAGCTTCTCCTTTGCAGGCAGCAAGCTTGCTTTCTCTTCCCTATGTGCGCTCCCCCTGTCTCACTCCAATGCTGAAATCTATTTAAAAATCAATTCTCCTCCACCAATCCACCCCCTCGGTGGCTCTGAACGTATGTAAGCGCTGAAGCCGTCCAATCAAACGCCTTTCTATGAGAAGATAAGCAGTGTAAGAATGTAAAGTTACAGTTTGCAGAGGGTGCCAGATTTACAAGGACTGGTCTAGTTTGTACTGACATGTCTACTTGGCAAAAGTTAAGAGAACTGAAGGATCGCTGTCAGGCGGTTGTTATACGATGAGAACACCTTTGAATAATAATTTAGGCATTTTAACAACAAATATGAATATGGGGTTGGACTGGATTAATTGAGTTAATTCATTAACAGGTGGGAAGCATGTCCGTTTTGTGTCGAACTCACATGATTTGTAATGAGTCTACAGGTTGTGTCTTATATTGACCCATTGTATCGTTTTGAGTTATATGTTGCACCTTCATAAACAATAGCATAGAAATGCTCAGTATAAAAGCTGAATATTTTGCCTCAATGCATTTAGGGGTCTGGTCAGGGACAGGCTGTTCTAAGAAAATTTAGGTGACTTGGAAATATTAATTGAAATAAAATGTAATTTAGAAAAGAACGATTTATCTTATTTAGACAGAACAATTTCTAAACACATTTATTGTAGTTCAAAAACACATTACTGTGAGTTTTATTGCTGTGAAGTTCAGTGATACACTCAGACAACAATATGGAACTCCTAGAAAAATGGGACATTAGGAAAGAAAAGAGGGGCAGAGGGATTTGATTCCAAAATAGGGATTGTCCCTTCTAAATAGGGACACGTGGGAGTTATGTAATAAAAGGAAGTTGGCAGCAGGTTTTGTTATAATCTAGAATCCTCCCTGTGTAAGTAGTAAAACTCCGTGCAAGTGGTTTGACAACTTGCCTCAGTCTACTGGGCACCAGTCATCTCTTTCTCTGGAGCCTGGAAGCTTCTACAAGGAATTTTTTATTATTTTTTTTTAAATCTCCCCCAAGGAGCTTCTATAAACTCTCCCAAACTAAGCCTGTAGTACTCAGTGGCTGAAAGTGTTTGCTGTGCAGTCTCAACCGATGATATATTCTATATAGCTGGGCTTAGCTCAATGCTACAGCTTCTTGGCCGGCGGCCCCAGGTAAATTGTAAAGCCTTCAGCAAAACATCTGACTACTTATCCTATGAACGTGCTATATAAGTTATGGTGTTTGGACTGTTCCTTTAACAGATGACAGTCAAGAGCAGTAACTCCTTTATAGACTGCACTGATGCCCAAATCATAAATATAAAAGCTCAAATGTAATTCTCTGTAAAATTATTCAGACTAACACAGCACAGGCAGCCATATGTTTTCATCACAGGTTTTTCTCTAATCCCGCCATTTTCACATTATGTAACTTCATATTAAATTAGAGCACTACTTTTGTTTACAATCCTTTTCATGTAGACAGACATCTCTTAAGAGACACTGTAAGCACTGTTACCATTTTATCTCATTGAGTCCTCTGGTGCTGTTTCTCCATTCAGTGTTTATCCATTTTCGAGCGGTTTAACATTAAATAAGGGTCCATAGGCAGCCCCAGCTGGTTCCCTACTCGGAGGTATATCTAAGGTACAAATTGCATACATCTTTTCAGCCATAGTAGTTCATAGTAGTAGTAGTTCATAGTAGTTCAAACACTCTCAGCCAATCACAGCGAACCCTTGATGCTCAGGCTAATGCTTCCTCATTAGCAAAAACAGCACTGAGAGGATGGGATTGTTTCGCAATAAAACATTAAAAACTCTTTATTGCTAAACAGATGTCCAGAGTCAGGGGACTTGACACTATAAACACTTCAATAAGATGAAGCAGTTACAGTGCCTACAGGGTACCTTTAAAACATTGTAAAACAAGTTAAAAAGAAAATAAGTAAAGAATAGAGTTTATTCAAGACAAGACTAAAGAAAACTGCAAGCCAAATTGTACAATTTAGTCAAACAAAAAAGCAGTTGTGTTATTGCACACCAAAAAGAAAATGTAAATTTATCTGTAAGCCGATGGGGATCTAAGCACCTTGTTCAAGAGGGTTGTATACAAGCTCATCAAAATCTAAGCACCTGAAATCAATACTGTCACATACTTTAGTGACTGTCAACAGTACAGGAATTAAGCAAACCTCTCCCAATATTTCCTGGTTTAATTGTTTTGTCTTATACTGTATATATGCTGTACTCCCCGCACTCACTTGTAAAATCAATGTGAATGATGCTGATGTTCTATAAGCAACAAGATTATAATAACAGTAACACCCTGCAATATATTACATTTAAGATAAAAACAGATAAATTGGAAATATTCTCCAATTGATATGTTTTTGCAATTTTTACCAGATACCAGTTTGGTGAATAAATACCATATGGGTAAGAATGTAAAAAAAAAAAAAAAATGCACCCCCTCTTTTGGGGAATTGCCAGATAAAAAAAAAATGTTGGAATCTTTGTGGATTCCAAAAATTCCATCTGCCTGTCCCAGACAAGAGTATTTGCACAGCACAGCACATCAGATAGTGTTATAGTGGGAGGAATTAATAAATATTGACCATGATTTTTAATAAGGTATGCACTTGCAGGGTGTGTGGTGTGTACATAGCACTACTGTAGTGACCCTCATCAAGTCACCAGGAACACATCTAGGCTTGCTCAGTAAATTATTGAGTGATTTAGCATATCATCAGCTATCAGCCTGCTTGCACTCATATTCAGTGGAAAAGATGTACTTCAAAAAAACAAAATCTGCCCAGACCTACCGTACTTGGAATTCAGTATAAATGCTCACCATGTCACTAAAGTTTACTCATACCTAGCCTTTGGAGCACAAGAGACCAAAATGATTACATCTGGTCCTGAAGCAGAGAAATGACAGGACAGTTCTGTCATGTCAGACTCAGGAGACTCATATACCTACATGCAATTTGTAAAAAGGAAGAAGTGTATGCAGGTGAGCATAGGGAAGATAATGGTACCAGCATACAGAAAATATGTACAGGAGAAAAAAAACAACAAATTGCATTTGTTTTGATCGTATTGTAAAGTAGGTACTGAGGTCAGAAACGATGGAAAGACTGATGCCACCATGCCCAAGTGGTGATGGGGAAAGGGACAATATAGAGCGGAATAGGCTTTAACCTAGGCATATCAAAGAAATAAAAAATAAGGTAGATCTCCAGCTGATGCAGAACTACAACTCACATGATACTTTGGCCAGTGTATCATAGGAGTTGTACTTCTATAATAACTTGGGAGTTACCATTAGGAGACACCAACTGATTTAAACCTTAGGGGGGCTGTAGTGAAAAATCTATATTATTATGTATATTACCATAGGGTCAATACTGAGAATAATTCACCTCACTCTGAAAGCATTTACAAGTAGCAAGTATTGTGATATTGATATAGCATGTCCAGTACATGTATTCATGTATGATATATGTATGCACCAGTACATTTTTGAGATATGTATGTACCAGTACATGTATGAGATATGTATTCATGTATGAGATATGTGTGTACCAGTACATGTATGAGATATGTATGCACTAGTACATGTATGAGATATGTATGTACCAGTACGTGTATGAGATATGTATGCACCAGTACATGTATGAGATATGTATGTACCAGTACATGTATGAGATATGTATTCATGTATGAGATATGTATGTACCAGTACATGTATGAGATATGTATGCAATAGTACGTGTATGAGATATGTATGTACCAGTACATGTATGAGATATGTATGTACCAGTACGTGTATGAGATATGTATGTACCAGTACATGTATGAGATATGTATGCACCAGTACGTGTATGAGATATGTATGTACCAGTACATGTATGAGATATGTATGCACCAGTACATGTATCAGATATGTATGTACCAGTACGTGTATGAGATATGTATGTACCAGTACATGTATGAGCTATGTATGCACCAGTACATATATGTGATATGTTGCACCTAGCAATCTGCGCAGCCATAGTTCTCTCCCCAGCATGCCACACCTTCCCTCCACATCCCCAAATTCTCACCCTGTTCTTGACTTCTGCAGAAAGTCCATAGGACGGGCCCTTGTTAAACTGGGAGCTCATGATGCTCTTGCGGGAGGTAGCTTCTGACTTTGCTGAAGTTTGGATGACTTCACTGGTCTTTCTCTCTTTTCTCTGTCTGTCCCTCCCTCTCCCACAGTCAATCTGTCCGTCTCCGTCTGAGTCAGTTTCCTCTGATTGAGTCAGTGTCTGTCTCTCAGGCTCCCCACCCCACTGCGATCTCATTGGCTGGCTGATAAAATCCCCATATATGGGCATATTGCCCTGAATTCCTCAGAACGGGTATTTCCTGCCTTTCCCAAAATTCTTAAAACGTATCTAACGGGGAATCAGGTAGTTACTCCTACTCCTTGGATAGTCACAGGGTCCAGGTATCGGTACAGTACCGATATGGAGATAGGACTGGAAAGAGCCATCTATAGAACGTATCACAAATAATATGCAAACTGCATGTAATAGATTTAGAACCATAGTCCTGTGTGCAGATACAAGCTCGTTGAACAGTGTGTGTGATCTTCAAAGGAAGAAGTGAAAACTGCAAGCACTTTTACATGGGATGCACAGAACATTTCATTAGAGTAGTCACTCAATTAAATTATTTTCTATTATAAAAAACAAGTATTTATTGAATCTGAATTATTAAAGGATGTATTTTATTCATAAAAAACTAATAATAACATTAGTAATCTTAATGTGGTACTGTCATTGTCTGGGGACTTTGCATGATTTGCAAAGCCTACTGATAACATTGCTGCTGGGTGGCCAGTGGTTGGGGAGGTCAGGCACATATTTGAACTTATCCCTTGCAGGCGCCGCTATCTTCCTTCGTTTTTCAGGAGCTGACATCACTGCAGTTCTCTTGTGCATGCGCGACAGTACAGTATTAAGGTCTATGGAGGACAGAGCCAATCTCCTGCAGCATCACTGGTGATGGCTGGGGAATTGACACTTATAGACTAGACAGCAATAGCTTTTCCCAGTGTCTAGAAGTGTCAGGTGTAGGAAAAATACTGAGATAAAGTAGTCCTTATTTTGTCTCCGTATATCTCTTGACTATACATATTTCAGTCATATTCCAACACAGTCAATATTTGTATTTCATAAAGATTTTATTATTATGAAATTCATTTTGCGGCGAGAGGAGAGGGGTGAAAGTGCCATTTTAATGTACTGATTTTGGTGCATTGATACTGTCTGTTTCCTTGAAGTATGTAAAATATTAGCATTTTGACATTTATGCCTCCCAACAATTTAGATGGATAAGAGGGACACTTTAATTTGATGGGTGTGAATAGGGATGTGGTCAGTGGCAGGGCAGTTCTGAGAAATTTTAGGTGACTTATTAATAACAAATGATGCAACTGAAATACAATTTAGAACACAGGTAATGTATCTACTTTACACAGACTGATATTTAAAAACATTTATTATAGTTTAAAGACACATAACTGTGAGTATTATTGCTGGAGAGCTCTGGTATACACTCAGACACACCACCAATATGGAGCTCCTAGAAAAGAGGCACATTAGGATAGAAAAGAGGGACAGAGGGATTAGGGCTGAAAACATGTGCGATCCCTCCTAAATAGGGACACTTAATGAGGTATGGATATTGCAGCTAATGGTTCTGAGATACATTGGATTGGCGTAATATAGCAATTGTCTCATATGTGGTATTAGTAGGCCCCCCCAACAGACCTGATTTTGGCGGGACAGTCACGATTTCAGGGTCCTGTCCCTCCATCCTGATTTAGTCCCCTTGTGTTCTGCATGTATGAAACTGTCCTCAGACTCCTCATTAGATGCGCTGTGCTGTGCTTAGGCTCCTGCTGAGAACCTGCAGAACCTGCTGAGAGTGTTTTAGCTGCGCTTTCTCTTTCCTCCTCAAAGTGCATGCGCTTTTAATGATCACTGTGCATGCGTTTTTATTTTTACGCACTTTGCTGACAAAATTGGAACAGTTGGTATGTTATACCTTTAAAAAAAAAAATGGCAGCAAATAAATATTTGCTCTTGCAAGAACCATGTAAATATATCTATCTATCTATATATATATATTTATAAGAATATATATATATATATATATATATATATATATACATACATACACATTTATAAAAATGTTCACATTCTGTATGCCTATGCTGATATTTATGGATCTATACATCACAATCTGCATAACAATGTTTAGGGTTTCTTACAGGGATCCATATGAAAGGTTCAGGAATAACTATTTCCAGGTTTCTAAAATGGCTGCAAATCTATTGATCTACTGCAAATAAGATACATTCAAAGAGGAATACCTATTTATTTTTAAATGTTTATATTTATTGCTATAAAAAAGTGTTAAATCCATCCTGGAACCTATTTAATATAACTCGGTAAGCACCTGGATTATATGTCTAATAAAGCTTAAAGGGTTACTCCAGGCTAGAAGTGATTTCTTGAATTTCTTCTACTTTTGTCAAAGTGAATGGTTTCAGATTTTCAGACAGGGGTGTGACATTTATGTCATAAAACATACAAATATAGTTTCAGGTGTCGACCAGGCAGTTCTTTTGGCTTCTTGCACCTTAAAAGGACATTATAGTCACCCGGACCACTTCAGCTCAATGATGTGGTCTGGGTGCCAGGTCCCTCAGGTTTTAACCCTTCACATGTAAACATAGCAGTTTGAGAGAAACTGTTATGTTTACATTGCAGGGTTAATCCAACCACTAGTGGCTGTCTTCCTGACAGCCGCTAGAGGCGCTTCTGCGACGTTGGATGCGAAATATCCATCCAACGTGCAGAACGTCCATAGGAAAGCATTGAGAAATGGGTTTTAACCCCTTCAGCCCAATGGGAGGATGCTATAGTGTCAGGAAATCGAGTTAGGCCCCAGGGAGAGTGCGCAGCTTAGCGGACAGGGGAACACGTATGAGTGTGGGATGGATGATGCATGATTGGCTATGTGCTACGTGTGGGAGTGTGAGATGTGAGGAAGTGGGGGGTGACAAAGTAGACTGACCTCAGTGCTACTTAGGAGCCGGGCCAGCAACAAGTTTCCCGCCCACCCTCCCTTTGCTGCTTTGGACCCGGGGGGTTGTCACAGCGCAGTGGGGGCATGTCCTTGCCAATAAGGGATGTTTTGTTAGATTAGATGAAAAGGGGGGTAATGGCCGGGTCTCATCAACCCCCTGTCTCTTATGGTGAACCAGGAGGAGGTACCAGGTTGGACGTGTCCCCACTGGGTTGTAAGTCGACCAGTGGGGAGCATTATAGTTGGGCCCCACCGAGCGGAAAACTGGCTGGTGGGGAGCCCTGAAAAGGAAGATGTTTTATTATGCCGAGGGGGGGAATTGAGAACCTTGGGGAATTTAGATTGGCAAAGACTGTTTCTTTCTTTGGTTACTGTATGACTGGATGAAAAGTGTTCATGTTAATTTATGATATTTATTATTATGTTATACGTTTAAGGAGTTATACAGTATTTGGTTATGTTAATAAATGCTGTGGCCTGTTTTTCCCAAGAAGTTGTCTGTCGTTATTTGATGGGGTAAGTTACGGGTTTTGGGGATGAAGGGAATGCTATCCAATGCCCACTACGTACATACATGTTTTCCTGACACTATAGTGATCCTTTAAGGTCTGCACCCACTGGAGGGTATAAAAATCCTATTTAGCTGCACTGAAAGAATATAATGCCTTTTAGTCAGTGGATAAACTAATCTATTTGTTTGGCATTTTACAAACTAATCAATTTGTTCATCCAGGGATTAACAGGCATTTGATTCGTTTAGCACAGCTGAACAGAATTTGTGTACACGTCTAGTAACTAGGTAGTGTCTAAAACCTTGGACTCCAGCAAATCACACCATAATCTCCAAATGGAGATAACTTCAAACAATTATGAATCTTCCTAGCAAATGGAGATAATTTAAAACAATTATGAATCTCCCTAGTAATATAGTCCATTTAACAAAATGTCTTCAAAGCCAAAGCAATAACTCATCCAGGAAGTCACAGAACTCCCTAGGACAACATCTAAGGAACTGCCACAATAAGCCAACAAGAGATTGGACAAATCAGTACATAATCTGAAGGATAATTGGATTATGCAAAAGGTCAAAGTTCAAAACACTCCACCACAGAATGACTCAAAAGAAGAAAAAAAAAAAAAGAAAGGCTTTGGTATGATCTAATCAAAATCCTTACCATATCCGGCTATTTTAGCACATAGAAGAGCACTTTTACAGTGCTGCTCAACGCAAGTGAAGGCCTGGTTGGCTTCCTGGAAAAAGTGGTCACTGATGTGATCTTTAAACCATGGCTTTTTTTCTCATTTCACACTTACAAATATTTAGAGATTAAAATTAAAATTAATTGGCCAATGCTCCAGTTAGTTCTCATGCACAAAGAATATTTATGATATCACCCTCATAAATGCACACAATCTGTACATTAGTATGGAAGTCAACTGTAGTACAGTACATCAACTGTATTTAATTTATGTGGCATTACATTCATAAGTAGCCATATTTTTACTGCCATTTTGAGAATCATTACACTGTATTCTTTACAACTGTCCAGATGTACCTGTGTATCTGAGTATGCAGAGCCAGGTTTTTTTTAACAAATCTTTTTTTTTTTTAACAACAAAAGTAACAAATCTTAAAGGAACACTATAATCACCAGAACCACCACATCTTAATGAAGTTGTTCTGGTGTCTATAGCCTGTCCCTGCAGGCTTTTCAATGTAAACATTGCCCTAGGCAGTGTTTACATTGCTGCCTAGTAACACCTCTAGCAGCTGTCACTCAAACGGCCACCAGAGGTGCTTCCTAGTCCAAGGACAGTGTGCAGCACCTACGTTGAGCATCTACACGCTCTGGCACTAGGGCCTATGGAGTTGTGCAGAATGGAGGCGGCAGCGAGCGAACTGTAATCTTCTTGCTCTGCTCTCTCTGCGCCCTGCTGTGATACTAGGAGCCGGCATATGAGGTCACTCGGGCCCAGACATCAATAAGTCCCCAGAGAAAGGAAGCACTCCAGTTCTCCAAAGACTGGGTGGATGTAAATTAAAATAAAACAAATCATATTTAATTAGTGAGTGTGTGTGCTGTGTCTGTGTATTTGTGTGTGTGTATCTGTCTGCCAGTGAGTGTGTGTGTGTCAGTGAGTATGTGTGTGTGTGTGTAAGTGTATGTCAAATCAGTGAGTGTGTGTATCTGTCAGTGATTATGTGTGCAAATTGGTATTTTATTTCTAAAAA